TTGTTACCAGTAGCCCAAAGGTGAATAATTCCAGTTTGGAATCTCTGAGTATAACCTACTATACATAAGTTGGCTGTAACATGGCAATCTGAATTTTTGTAAAGAAATATTGATGCCCGGTCCTGTCTATCGGGACTTATCATACGATTTTAACGGACAGCATACGCATTTTTCCATCACACAACACGGAAACGTGGATTTGGTGGTGAGTGATCAATGTTGAAGTACTTCTGGCAATGCTGGTGAATGGTTTTTTTCTGATTACATGCTCTTGCCAATTTAGCACTGATAGCCGTACATCATTGTTTTGAAATGTCCTTTTAGCAAAGAAAATTTTATTTTTGCCGTTGTGTATTAAGACAGTCATTGTTGAAAGTTGATGAAACATCTATAAGGGCGGCTTCAAGTTCCTTAATAGGGAAACCTCAGGCAAAAATGATTTTTTGAGTTTCTAGAACAATCATATAACTATCTCTTGATAAGTCTTAGAAAGAGTAAAAAAAGTTAGATGGACTGAAGAGAGCGACACGTTTGTTTTTCCCTAATAGGAGAGCATAGAGAACGAAAGGATGATAATCTTTCTAGGTTTTCTCATCGTTAGGAAGGATTGGGCAAGTCACTGAAGTAATTTTTCCCGAGGCAATCATAACAGAAGCATTGTCAACACAACAACGTGTTGATTACGATACGAAGTTACTACTGGGAAGTGACGAGGTATTGTGCTCATAAGAACTCGAAACTGAAGGTTGGGTAACCTCCTATGTGTTGCATAGGCAAACGCGGATCTCTTCATCCGCCGACTTGTTCTTTACTTGGCGTCGTTGGGTCGACGGCGGCGGTTGATCGTTTCAATCGGTGTGTTTGTTCTCAGAAAATATTTCTGCTTTTTTATATTAGTGGATATAACAGTTTGAACCGTTAATGCTTACTATCACATTACTTCTGAGAGAGCACAAGCAGAAATAAGGACAAACCTAAGTATCAGATTGATTTTTAAGGTTTCGATGGGCTATCAGTTGAGGATATTGCAACGGCTATGCAACAATTACAGAAACACTTTTAGGTATGAAGTCACGCTTTCTTGACTTCTTAGGGTTTTTTTTTTTGAAAACAGGTTTTACCCTCAATTCTTTTTTCAGAGTTTGTTCTAGTGAATCAGCAACTAAACCGTCACCATCACCCACAACCAATTCAAAAAAGAAAAAGACCATATTCTTACCTCAAACCAAATTCGTTAATCATATAAAGTCTTCCGAGCGTGCCGGTCTTGATCAAGAACTGTCAATAAATGGAGGAATATCAACACTGTACGAATGGCAACGAGAACAGCATGATAGGAAGAGAGTGTAAGTTATTTGAAGAGGCTGCCTTTATCAGCGTTCCATAGTGGTCATGACCGCGAGTTTTTGAGAGTTATCGAAATTATACCTGAGGATATGTTTATCGCGATGGTTTGATTTCACTTAAACTCATGAAAAAGCATATTAGCACACGTTATTTTTGGCCATCTTGATGCTCTCAGTCTTCTTGGGAAATGTGTCTCTCATATTTACCTACCTCTCAAAAAATAGATTCGAACTTCTTGATGGACCTCCTTATGCTAATGGAGCGGCACATACTGGACATGCTATTAATAAGATTCTCAAGGATTTTATCGTCAAAAGCCGAATCGCATTGGGTTACAAGTAAGCAAAGTGACCTTTTCTTCTTACTTTCCTTCTCATTGAACAAGTAAATTCTTATCAGAGTTCGATTCCGACCAGGTTGGGATTGTCATGGTTTGCCTATAGAGCTGAAGATTACCAAAAATGTACAGGTTAGTAGAGTTTTGTTAGAATTTGGTTGAGCAACCGTTTGATTTGCGT